TCGGGCAGTCTTCGGGCACTCTGGGGTCGTCTTGGTGCACTTGTCGGGGCCTCCTGGACCGTCTTGGGACGATCTGGGATGGCCCTGGAGTCGTCTGGGGCCGTTCTTGGCCCAAAACTGGCAGAACATGGCCTCGGGGGGCCGTCATCGGGGTCCGGTTCGGCTGTTTTCGGAGGCACCTGGCCCGTCGTCGGGCCGTCTCGGGCCGTCGTGGAGATCCGTTCGGGTTCTCTTGGGCCGTCTTCGCCCGCTCCAGAGCGTCTCACAGCGGTCTTGGGGCTGTCAGGGACCGTTTCGGGGCCACCTGGAGGCTCTCTGGAGCCGTCGGAGAACGCCCGGGCGCTTCGGGCGCTCGGGGACAGCTTTTTCAATGCTTACCCTGTTCGCGCGCTCAACGCCCAGAACTGTAGTACAGACTGGTGCGAACCCGTGGACTAGTTGAACGGTGTGCTGAGCCTGGGACTCGCACGCTGGGGCTGTGAACGGGGCGCCACAACCCTCGACCATGACCGGGCACCAGCACTCCGCTATTGAAGGGGCCCTGGGACACACAAATAAATACACACAGAGAAAATGATTCCCCATCTTTTCCCAAATTTTCTGGGCTTTTGTCTTCCCGCCCATTTCCCATATCTTCCAATATTTTCCTGGGACTCGACGATGAAATGTGTCTGTGTGTTTCTTTCCCTCCTGAGCTATGACGTTCTTGCTGAAGCGCACGCTCTGCACGTGGCCCTGCCTCGCCTCCCCGACGGTCGAGGCCTCCCGGGGGCCGGACTGGCGCTGGAGGGGCCCCTGTCGGGACATGCTGGGCGTCTCTGGGGCCGTGTCGGTGCTGGGTGTCTCTGGGGCCTCCCCGGCGCCCCAGACAAGCTCGCGGGAGGGCCCAACATGCCCCCGACACTAGGGGAACAAGGAGTGGCATAAACATAAAAACCCAGAGATCCGCGCACGAACATCGTATATGCTAAAGATGTTCGAAACATCATGTAAAACACCTTTCCACTTCTCAACCGTCCTGCGGTGTTGGGTCCTCGTTTTGAAGAGACAGTCCCCGCGTCTCCTCTTCCTCCTCCTGCACATCCAGCCCATCTCTATTCTCCTTGGCCGTGCTATGCGCGAACCACTTAAGCTGACCTCTTCAGGCACCCCGAGTAGCTCGGCAAATCCTTGGATTCGACAGTTCGCCCAGGATCTTGATTGATATCATGGGATCAGCGGGACTGAAACGTTTTCGAAGTCTGGGATCTTTCGGGGGGCTCGTGGAAAGAGTTACTTACAGCTAACTCGGATTCGGCACATGAAATTTGAAAACTAGATCCAGGTATAATTCGTTGGCGGTCTTCACGCATCCGAAGCATTGGGATATAAGTTCAGTAAGGTCGACACTAGCAGTATACCCTCATCGGCCCAGGGATATTTTGATTGCAATGGCTCATTCGCCGAGTTATACAACCACCTCAAGCGAAAACATCTTCCCTTGCCTCCACCGCGACTCGTTGTGCCGCAGCCTGCGCATCCTAGACAGGCCACGGGGGCCCGCGACCCTTGGTCGTCCCTCAGGCGCCGCCGCGCCACCCCAGCACATCCGAGTCGTGCGCCAGCGGGCGGCAGATGGCGGCAAGACGGAGCCAGTAGTACAGGAGGCCAAGACGTGGCAGCAGGGCTAGAAGCAGTTCATGGGCATGATCATGCGCCGAACTTTACGCAGCGCTCAACGTATTCGCGAAGTACAAAGCACCCTCTTCGACGTCTTCCTCGTGCCCGAGGGCTCCGGCCATGCAAGAACAGACTTCGCTCCACAGCGAAGCAGTGAACAAGAAGGATCACGAGCTTGGGCCGCCCCGAATCTGGACGATGTGCGGCATGCTGAAGTTCTCTGAAGAGGCAACTCCCGACGCCGCGAACCAGCCGATCACCACCAGCGCAGCCGTTCATCAGGAGATCGTGCAAGCCTATGGCGTATACAACGATTATCCACTGGCCCACGGGAGAGGAAGTGCGACCTGGTTCTCATATGCAAGCTCGCGAAAAGTGTCCCAGTAAAGTAACAAGACAATGACGTTATGTTTCTGTGACCAGCCGTTTCGGGTCATGATACTGCAGGCTTGCAAAGGAACCGACCAGATGGAGCTCAGGCAAGGTCGAGCGCCAGCCACTTACGAGCGGCATATTCAGACTGTGCTGGAGGCCATGGAGGGCCAATCAGAACACTGCGAACCATCCAGAAGGCCCGCCGACACGGTGGACTGCCAGAAGGTACAGTACGTGATATAACTTTTTGGGACGGCACAGTGAGTGATGCAGCCGAGTATAGACTTGCTCCTCCAAACCCCATCAATACAGAAGCTGGGCACGCACCAGGCTTACCTGCCTTAGATGCTGGAGCTGATCGTGCGTTTTTTTTTTGCGCTCGACGCATTGAGGGATAAGAAACTGAAACTCGACAATGCACCTTCCTCGTTTCAAGGCTCCGAGCTGTGAGAAACTATCTATCCTCTCGAGAGGCGGTGCCAGGCACTCCACATTCTCGAGCCATGAGCGGAAGTGAGAGCATCTACGACTTCGCAAAGCAGTGGAATGTACAACGTTTTTTTTGATTTTCGGTACCAACATCCTCCCCTCGCTGATCTCTGCACGACGTCCCTTCCGTTGTCATCGTTCTCCCCCCTGCTCTCCTGGTCCTCTTGGCTCCGTGGCCTCACCCCCCCTTCTTCCCTCCGCCTCCGCGGGTGCCCCTGTCTCGTCGTGTCCTTCGCCTCTCTCCTCTCCCTCGGGGGGTGCTGGCTGTTCC